CAGCCTGCCCTGCCGGAAGAGTCATAGAGAGCTGCGTAAAGTTCCCATTGGCTTATCAGCTCAAGATTTTAAACGCTCGTATTTGGTTAACAAAAAGGAAGCCATCGTTCCCAGTCTTCAACGTTCAACATCATCCAGTTCATCCATAATTGCATCCCTGCCTGCGAGGTTGCCTGGGTCAAGCCACAGGGACATGCTCAAATCTCCTAAAACTTCTCAAAAACTTCTTTTGCTTTAGGTCAGGATATTCCAGTGCTCTGGAAGAAACATCCGCTGAAAGTCCCCTCCCCCAACTCGGTGGTCCCTGCGCCCTATTACGGTAATGAATTCTCCTGCCCGAAGCCCATTCCTGCTACAGGGGTTTCCAGACAGTGAGGGCGGCGGGTTACTTGTTGGGAGTGAGATCGGAGATGCGCTCAGCCGCTGCGGAAACTCTGAGTCACGGAGCCGCAGCACGTAGGCTGGGAACAGAGCTCACGTGATGCAACCTCTGGCCTTCCCTTCAAGACCTAAAGGCCTCTTTTCCTGATCAGCGTGCGTTTTGTCTCCTTTCCAGAGTCCGTGTAGAAATGAACACGCGTGCATTGTCACACAACGGAGGCGTGCCACTATTCATCTGTTGCTGATACTGAGGCTGGAAGATTTATTATATATTCCTGGTGATCTTCACTTTTTACAGTACTGAAGTGTATCCCTTCCTACGTCTAGGTTGTTGTTGCTGTTGTTTGTTCTATAAAGTCTACTTTGACTAATTTAGCACAGCCACCCCAGCTTTCCTTTGGGTAGATTTTCTGCGGTGCTTTCTTTCCAGCTTTGGTTTCAACCTCCCGTTGTCTTTATATTGAAGTTGTGTCTCCTAGAGGGAATGTGTTGTTGGGTACTTTACCCAATCTGACAGTCTTCATCTTTTAATCAGAATAGTCTGCACTCAGCTTACAACTGTATGGGGGTGTAGATGTACAAACTTGTGACTTATCTATGGTTTATTTTGAATTAGCTCTAGCATCTTAATGTTTTCTATTTCACTGATCTGCTGTGTAGTTACAACTAAGTTTTAAACATCAAGTCTTAGGAGAGCACGATGGAGAAGAGCCTTGGCTGTGGAGTCAGGCTGCATATCAGCGTTTCCATTGGCTGTGACTCTCGGCGGGTTTCTAAATCCCTATAAGCTTCATGTTCTTAACTGTACAATGGGATGATAATGATAGCAATTATTAGAACTACCTGATAGGTTGCTACAAGAATTTATTTTTTAAAAATTGCAGGTAAAAATACACTTCATAGTAATGCTTATATAATATGCTCCATATTAATCTTACTATTAAACATGAGCATAATTTCTAAAGCCAATACATTTCCATAGCTACCCGACCAAAAAGAACAGAAGCTGTGTCTGCTACCCGCCACCACCTTCTGCGTCAATGTTTCCTGGTCCTTTAGATCAACATTTGTATTTATTTTTGACAAAGAAAAACCAGTTAGCTCTAAAAAAAAATGTCACCACCCTTTTGTGGGTGACTTTCCCCATCTCTTCAGGTGTCCTCTGGGATGCTGTAGCAACACTGTGGACACCTGCCCCGTATCCCCTCGGCCCATCTGGTCAGCAGTGACCACAGGAGAGATTTTCCTCAGCAGCTTTTCACATCAGGAGCCTGGCTTCCTCTTCCCTGCCGAGCGCTTCCTCCAGCACCAGGGGGCTTGCTCAGCTGCCAGGAGGAACACCCAGAAGCCCAGAGACAGTGAGCAGATTAAAAAAAAAAAAAAGGCCCAGCCCCTCGTCATCTGCTAGAGTGATTCTGAGGCATTTTTCTCACTATCATGGAGAGTCCCTAGCAAGCTTGTCCAGTTTCTCATTGATGCATTTTTTCCCAGCTTTTCTTCCACCTTTGCCTCACTCTCCCCGTTTCCTCACTTGTGTTTCCTGGGATCATGTTCCAAATAAGCGCTGGCACCCAAGTCCTGCGCCAGTGCACTTTCTGCACCCACTGAGATGGTCATGTTTTTCTTCTGTGTCTTACAGTGAGGTGGTTGTCAACAGTTTATTTTACACCTTCATAAGTCTTGCATTATGAAAATAAACTTAATATGGTTCAAATATAACATACCATTAAATAAATAGATGGAGAGAGAGAGAGAGAAATTGATGCAGATTGCTAACATGGTACCCCATACTTTTCGTTCCTTGTAATGTCCTCCTCAGGTTTAGGCATCAAAGTTATGCTGCCCTTATAAAACAAGGTGGAGAGTGTATCATCTTTTTCTGTTCTCTGGAAGGGCGATTGGAAAATGCATATCAAAAGCTTTCAAATTAAGCAATAATCTTTGATCCTTTCTTAGGAGCTTATTGCCAAGAAATCATCAGACAACCAAGCAGGGATACAGATGCAAAAATCTGTTACTTACCAAAAGGAAAAGTAGGACAAAGTATGTCTTTTTTGAGGGGGTGGGGGGTGATACAAAGAAAATGCCCTGCAGGGAAAAAATGTCAAAAAGTTAAGGAAACTTCTATTAATTTTTATTAATTACTGATGGACTTTAATGAGCTTTTCCTCAATAACTGAAAACCAATAAATAAAAAACAATAATTGGACAGAGATTTGGCTTGGGGTGGTGAACACACAATACAGTGTACAGATGACATGTTGTAGAAGTGTGCACCTGAATCTGTACAATTTTGTGAATCAGTGCCATCCCAATAAAGTCAATGAAAAGGAAAAAATAATAAAGGTTAAATTTTTAAAAATTTTAGAAAGAATAATTGTAATGGTCACCAGAGGGCGGTGTGGCTCTTTTTGTCAACGGAGCACCGGACTGTCTGTCCCAGACCATCACTCCAGAAGTTCACAACTTAGGAAATCAAGGTGTGTTCCGAGAATCCTGGAATCAAAGCTGAGAGCTGCTAAGGAGTCAGGCTTCCCTAGTTCTGGCTCCTCACACCCTTGCCACACCTGACCTTTAGAGCATCATGAACTGCAGTTAACCTCAGCACTCTAGAACACCTGCTACGGAAGCTGCCCGCAGAGACGTTAGGGAACTGTGGACGTGAAGTTCTTCTTTAAGGGAAATGCACCCCCAGGGACCCTAGTCAGCTCTGCTCACTGGCGCCCTGCAGACCATGTCTGCTCTCCCTCCACAGCGTACTATTTTTTTGTGTGTCATAAAAAATTTAAATTCAAAATAGACACTTTGAATTGGTAAAAGTAAAGAAATAAATAAATAAACTTTAACAAGCTCTTTTTGAATTTAACAACAGAGTACACCAACCACCACAGACCAGTTTCACAATTGCCTCATAAATGCACATTTTAGCCCTGGCCACGTAGCTCAGCTGGTTGGTGCATCGTCCTCATACACTGGGGTTGTGAGTTCAATCCCCCATCAGGGCACGTAGAGGAATCAGCCAATGAATGTATAGATTGGTGAAACAACAAATTGATGTTTCTCTTTGTCTCTAAGAATCAATTTTAAAGTGCACACTATAGAAGTTAGTTGCAAGCATTATATTCTTAAAAACCCATATAGTAAAATTATTTTATTTCCCAGAGACTGTCCTACCTTCTCAATATGTTCGGCAGGTGCCTCCGCTGGGTGTCACCAGCAATATGACTGAAGGTCTAAACTGACCGGTGTCCATGACTACTTCCGGTGCCTTTGTGTTCTCTTCCATTGTGTTACTGTGTGGAAGAAAATCGAGGTCACACTGTCCAGAGAGCGGTAACACAATGAAGTTCTTTAGCTGAACCTGCCCCACTAGCCAGACACTGGGCTACGTGACTGCCCATTTCCTCAGGACACACACGCTGACTTCCAGAAAACTGGCAAGGATTATCAGTGCCTTTAGAACTTACTTTAATTAAAGTAAATGTATTGTTAGCCACAAAATGAATGTGTGTTAGTGGACACTGCCGCTGTGGTTCTCAGTGACTCCCACCCGGGGTCCTTTCCTGTCCACGTTTCGAGCCAGGCAAGACAGAAGCCAGACCAGACCCTCAGGCAGCCCGCTGAGCAAGTCAGATGTGGGGTGGACAGTGCAATCCTCTCCTCTCCTTCCTGGGGAGAAGATTTTAATTGTGTGCTGTGGGAGGGACTACGGCAAGAGGGTGCCACAGGTGTGCCAACTGGCTCCAGTACAGCTGGGTTTGTGCTTACATGGGGTACGGGAGCCTCAAAACTGACCTTAGGATTTCTCAGAAATGGGCCTGGCCTGTGTGTTGTTGCACCGGTGTGTCCATGAAGAGGATGAAGGGTCTGGACCCTGTAGAGTTACTTTCTACTCATAGTAAGAAGTTTGCTGTGCATCAGTACACACCACGCTATGCTGGCCCCAGCGTTTACATTTCGTATTTACCCTTGACCTCTTTTCCTGATACCCTCTCCTACCTCCTACCCCCACAGGACAGTCCTGTTCCTGGAAAGAGTGGTCTGTCCCACCGTGTCCACTTCCTAAGCTCCCCCTCATTCCAGCTCTCAGAGTGTGATCACACCCCTCCCAGATCGCCTCTCACCACAGGACCTGCTCAGGCTCCTCGCTGCACTTTCTTCTCTTCCCCTTTCACTCCCGCTCAGTGGACTCCAAGTTCCGCATTTATGCCTCACTCCCCTCAGTCTGCCTGGATGTCCGGCCACTTTTGCACCATAGCTACCATATGCGGATGGCACCCCCAAACATACCTCCAGCCATGAGTCACCTCCCAACAAACAGACCCAGTTTCCAACTGCATCCTGAAAGGGTCTTTCTGAAGCACCCCAAGTTCAACACGTCCAGTACTAAATTCATTTTTCCTTCCAGAACTCGTTCTTCTCCCTGCCTTCTCTGTCTGCGTGGATTGCACAACTATGCTCCCGCTTGCCGAAGCCAGAACCCTGGAGGTTGATTTGATTCTTCTTTCTCTTTCTGCTCCTACATTCAAACTGTGTCTCTCAGACCCATGAATTCAGTGGAGCCCTATGACCTGAGTTCCTGGGTGTCGTATGTACTCTGTAAAGAAAGACCCCAGACATGCTTGTTCCAGCACTTTATTGTTAATTGGTTGTGTACATCAATGAGATCATATCAGAGTAAAAGCCTCATTTACACACTATGGTGTCCTGATATCTGTGCTATCTTCTTACATAATTTAATACACCCCAAGATGCTCCTGATTTGGGTCAAAGAGCTTGAGTGGTCCAGAAATCTCTCTATATAAATATAAGTCATAGCATCTAAAGAACCATCATTGTTTTGGGTTGGTTTCAAAAGTCCTGGGAACACCTCTTACGCTGTAAGGCTGTGCCTTGGATGGGTTGCAGTGCCAGTGGGAGGGAGTGAAGGGGGTGCAGGCCACACCTGGAGTGACACCTGGAGTGAATCGTAGCAGGAGCTGGGGCGGAGGGACAGAGCTCCCTGGTGTGGGGCACACAAAGGGAGAGGGCTGGGGACTCTGAAAGCTGGCCAGGGAGCTCAGCCACTCTGCGTTTTCCAACACTGCCAGAGTGTCAAAGCTACTCGAGTCCAGAGCAGAATGACAGAGTTGCCCCAGCTCCCTCGGCATTGCCAAGAAACGGCAGAGGCCCCCTCCAGACTGCACAGGGGCAGACTCTGGCACAGAGAAGGTCCTAGAAAGTTCCACCCATCTCCCCCGCATAGTTAATTCCCTCCCAGATTAGAAAACTCGAGGGAATGGCACCTCGAAGAAAATAGCTTTGAACCAGTGTGCTGATGGCCCCTTGGAAGGAGGACAGGGTGCCTCTGAGTGGTGTGACCAGAGGGGCACCGACAAGGGCCGCTGTGCCCTGAGCGTCTCCCTCGCCACCTTGAAGGCCAGCGTCAGCCGTCAGGTTCTTCGGTTCTTCGGAGCTTCCCGGCACTCAGCAATACCATCTGTGTGTCTGCTCCCAGACAGCTTGGGCCTCCTCCAAGTCCTGGGTTCCCACGACCCTCTGAGGTAGAAAGGGCAGGGGTCCCAATCCCCATCTGGAAGATGAGGGACTTGGAACTCATGGATTCAGGTCCCCTGGCGGAACTCACACAGCTGGCCACTGGAAGAACCAAAACAGAACTTGGGCCTCCCCTCACATGTCAAGCTCCAGAATCTATACTCCAAAGTCCCTCCTGCTGCTGTTCTGAGAGGGCAAGAGTCCCGGGGGAGGGGGCGCTGCCCTCCCCCGCCCCCGCCCCTCTTGGGTAGACCTCAGGCGGCCCCATTGAGGACAGGATGAGCCCGCATGCGATAGATGATGACTGCGGTGGCCGGGCACAGCAGCAAGGAGGTCATGATGACAATGGTGGCCAGGATGATGAGGACAATGACCCAGATGTCCAGGATGTGCTTGGGGAGCTCGACTTCCGCAGGCACCTGGCTGGCTGCGTCCATGCTGTTTCGCTCTGCAACAGACAGGAAAGAGGAAATCAGTGCGCTGGACCCTCGCCCTGCCTCCCTCTTGGAAGGAAACCTGCTCCGGGAGTCGGAAGCCTGGGCCCCTCACGGGCCGCGTGATCTTCACGGCTGCTTGATCAACAACAACAATGGCCTCACTCACTGAGGGTTTCCTAAGTGGCAGGCGTGGTGCTAGGGACTCACCTGTACAAACTCACTTCAACCACCACCCCTACAGGTAAGGACTATTGTTGGGGCTTTTTACTTCTTGGCCTTTGTCTTCAGTTATTCCCATTTCAGAGATGAGGACTCTAAAGCCTGAAAAGATGCAGATGTAGTTAATTTGCCCAAGGAAGTGAAGCCAGGTGGGTGGGACTCCAGAGCCTCCATGTTTCACTATTAAACTACCATGTTACCGTCTATAGCCTTTGCCATAAAAGGGGAGACTCATTGCTTTCAGTCCTGTACCCCTTCTCCCATCCTTGTGGTAACGGAACACCTTCTTTTCTGCGAAGAACCTACCTACTCTGTGTCTTAGGGCATTCTCCTGAGCACAGGGATGGATCTGTCACTCAGGTTTGCCCATGACAAATCTCCACGTCCTCGATTTAGGGACAGGTGAGCAACCCCAGCTAGATGGACCAAAGTCCCCCCACGGCTTCTCTGCACAAACCATTGGGAAAAATGGCTCTTTCTGCTGCAAGGGTGTGAGTCCAGAACTGACGGGTGGGGGGCTCTCTGGCCCATATGCGGAGGGCCTGTCCCAGAGATCAAAGGGAATCGGAGCCTTGTTACTTCATTTGGGCACTTGGACCCGGCCCAGCCTGACGCCATCTGCAAACCAGGACATCCCAGATGATAAGCCGATTAATTTCTGACTCTGCTTAAGCAGGGCCAATCTGGTTTCTGTCACTTGCAGCTACAAGAGTCCTAATGGATAAAGTATGTCAGTCAGCTGTTCCAAAACTTCTTTCACGCACAGCACCCTTAGTGTTCTAGTAATTTCTTGACAGCACTGCAGGCCAAAAGAAATACCTAACAGTTCCTTTTATTCCATAGTTTCAAACAACATAATAAGCGTTTGTGTCCTAATTAGTAGCTGTCTGAAAAAATATGATAGGCGCAAATTAAAAGAAAAAAATACATTTTTCATTCTTAACCGGTCACTGACAAATGGGGCGTGTGCACCAACTGGGCACTGTGCAACTTTTGAAACTTCAGAGTCAGATCGGATGATGGGTGCTCACTTCCTATGCCACATGCATGGCCCATGGTACTTGCAGCGTCGCGGCCACCACTGAAGACTCAGCCCCACAAATCATACCATCGTCACAAGGAATGTAGTGAGGTCAGGGTTCAACTGCAAACTGTCCTGAGCCCGTGGTTTACTCAATGTCTGAGAGATGTCAAACATCACTGTTCCTGTCAGAGATGTTAAAGGCTTTGCTCCAGCCAGCGTGGCTCAGTTGGTTGGAGTGTCAGCCTGTACACCAAAGGGTTGGGGGTTCGATTCCCGGTCAGGGCACAGGCCAGGGGAGCAACTGATCGGTTTTTCTCTTTTACATCAATGTTTCTCTCTCCCTCTCTCTCTAAAAACCAACAAAAGATATTTTTGAAATGTTAAGCATCTTGCAGCTCCAATACTCACTTTTCCAGTGAGTTCGCTATGGCTCCCCAGGGCTCAGCACACAGCTCGAGAACCCCAGATGTAATACAGTCCTCACCCAGAGCCGACAACAAACAGCCTCCTTAAGGCTCCTCCTACAGCGAAAGATCTTTAATCCTGTGATTCTAGGTCTAAGCAAAATTCCCAATTCTAGTCCTACTTCCTGCTTTTACCTGTCACTAACTTTTTCTTTCTACTCCCTTTGGCTCCACGCCCACTGTTGCCACTGCGAGGAAGGTACTGATTGCCATACTGATGGTACTGATTTGGGCACTGACTACCGAACTTTGGCACTGACTACCAGCATAGAGTCCCCAAGGTGCACATACAAGGATGTTCATTTCTGCATCGTCTGTTACAACAGCTGACATAACAGAAGTGTCCATAAATAGTAAAAGTAGGGTATATTCAGATAATGGAATGCCATATAGCAATTTCCATTCATTCTTTTCACAAATATGTAATGCTTGTTACACACCAAGCATTGCTCCAGTGCATTACAGATATTAACTTATTTAATAGTTATCCAAAAGAATGATGGTCTGTGGTGAGCTCCAAAATACTGTAAGTGGAAAAAAGTGAAGTGCAGGATAATATGGGTAGGATAATTCCCTTGGGTCAGATTTTGTAGAATCCAGTAGATAGACAGGTGGCGGTACAAAAATGAAAAATCTTTTATGGGCAGACTCCCAAAACAGTGTTAATGGCAACGACCTTTAAGTTTTTTGCTTTTCATTCTTCGTGTCTTCATAGTGTTTGAATTTTCTAAACATGAACACGTATTTCTTCTTTAGGCACTGCCCACATATGAAAATGTACTGCTTTTGTTCCTTTCACGAATATTTACAGAACATCTGCTACCTGCCTATCCTGTTCTCAGGTTCACGGACAGACATTTCCTCTTCACTGGGAGCGGCGCAGAGGAGGAGTCCTGGGCCCTAGGAGTTTGCTGTTGTCAAGGAAGCAGCCCCATTTTCTTTCTTTTTTTAAGTTGAGTTATAATTTGACTTGTAACATGATGTTACCTTCAAGCGCACAGCATAATGACTTGGAGTTTGTATATGCTGTAACATGATCACCACAGTGAGTCTAGGTAACATCATTGCCCATAGCTGAACGTATTTTTTTCTTGTGGTGAGAACTTTTCAGATCTACTCTCTTAGCAACTTTCGAATATGCACTGCAGTACTCTGAACTGCAGTCACCAGGCAGCCCCTTACATCCCCATGACTTACTTATTTTCGAACTGGAAATTTGTACCTTTTGGTGCCTTTCACCCATTTCACCCACCCCCTACCACCTGCCTCTGGCAACCGCCAGTCTGTTCTCTGGATCCATGAGTTTGGGGTTTTGTTCTGTTTTGTTCTCTTTTGTGTCATACTCCGTGTATAAGAGAGATGATGTGGTATTTCTCTCTCTGTCTAATTTCACTTAGCATAATGGACCATCCTACAGGTCCATCCACATTGTAGCAAATGGCAAGATTTCGTTATTTATTATGGTTCGATAATATCCCACTATTTCTATACCACGTTTTCTTTACCCACTCACCCACTGATGGCCACCTGAGTTGTTTCCACATCTTGGCTATTGCAAATTAATGCTGCAGTGAGCATGGGGGTGGTGTAGGTCTTTTCAAATCAACGTTTTCAGTTTCTTCAAGTAAATACCTAAGAGTAGAATGGCTGGGTGATATGGCAATTCCGTTTTTCATATTTGAAGAAGCTTCATAGTCTCCTGCACTGTGGCTGCACCAGTGTACATTCCCAAGAGAGCACAGAAGTCCCTTTTCTCTGTGTCCTCACCTTGGGTACAACAAAGCACTTGGCATCTCTTCTTGGCGATCGCCATTCTAACAGGTGTGAGGGGCCACCTCGTTGTGGCTTTGACTTGCATTTCCCTGATTAGTGATGCTGCGCACCTTTTTTATGTACCTGCTGGTCGTCTGTAGGTCTTCTTTACTTTTCATTTTTCACATCAACTGGATTGAGGGGAAAATGGCATTTGGGGTGGGGGGGGTCTTTATAATTCTCTATTTTAAAAAGAGTAAATACATACATATATAATTTTTTAAATTTAATCTTTAGTATATTTTTCTCCATTAGCATTTGGTCCCCTCTGTCCCCCTCTCCCCAGCAATCACCACACTGTTGTCCGTGTCCATGAGTCTTTTTTCCTTTTTTGCTCAAACTCTCCACCCCCTACTCTGTCGTCCCCCAACTAGTTTTCATCTGTTTTCCATCTATGAGTCTATCTCTGTTTTGCTTGTTAGTTTAGTCTGTTCATTAGATTCCACATATGAGTGAAATCATATGGTATTTGTCTTTCTCTGACTGGCTTATTTCACTTAGCGTAATGCTCTCCACAGTTCCATCCACATTGTCACAAAGGGTAAAATTTTCATCTTTTTTTTTTTGCTTTAGAGTAGTAATTCTTTTTTTTAAAGATTTTTATTTATTTATTTTTAGAGAGGGAAGGGAGGGGGAGAGAGAGAGAGAGAGAGAGAGAGAGAGAAGCATCAATGTGCATTTGCTGGGGGTCATGGCCTGCAACCCAGGCATGTACCCTGACTGGGAATCGAACCTGCGACACTAAATTTTCATCTTTTTTGTGGCCGAGTAGAATTCCATTGTGTAGATGTCCCATGGTTGTTTTACATATATAATTTTTAAGTCAAATAAGGTTCAACTATGAGGCTAGGTCAGTGGTCACCAAGTTCTATATAGCAAGCATGCTGAGAACCATGTTTGGACAGTATAAAAAAAAAACCCACTGATTTCCGGGTCCTGTTCCAGACTTAGTGAATTAGACTCAAAAGGAGATGGAAAGGGCTTTCCCCCTCATCTCCCAGGTGATTTGAATGTGCAGCCAGGTTTGGGAACCCCTGGACTCAATGATCTCTAAGGCCTCTACAACCCTTTCTAGCACTACGATTTGAGAATTGATTCCTAGGTGCTCCGTTGCCAGTGTGGTCAGATCTGGGCAAGTCTGGGATGAAGGAGAAGCCTCTGGAAAGGCTCCCCAAGGCCACAGGAGTATCAGGCTAGGGGCTGTAGAGGAAGCAGATGCACAGGCTGGCCCTGCTTCAGCCTTGGAAACGTGGTCACTTTCTCCAAGTTCAAAGGCACGAAAGCATGAGTCATAGGAGACTCATGAACACTGCTACGGAGGTGTGGGGGCGGGAGAGTTTATTTTTTGTGGTGTCCTGATTACCTCAACAGCTAGCTTGCTTTGGGCCGAAGGAACCCCACAAAAGCCCTTTCTGGTAAGCCCATTAACGTGAGCCTCTGTGACTACGAGTGCCAGGAACACATAATCTCCCTGGCTGCTTTTCGTCAGCAAAACCTGCCGTTTCCAGGAACTCGGGCTTCGGGACTCATCCACAACCAGTCATAGAACAATGACCCCCCCTTCCACCCCGCCCCTTCCAGAATAATCATTCAAAGACATAACTCTGATCAAGTTACTGCCCCTACCTAAACAAACAAACAAACAAAACAGAATAGAACAAGATGAATAAATGAAGCTTTTTTTCTGTAAAGTGTATTTTTGACTGTACCAATATTACTCTTTCACACATAAAATTTTTTAAAACCTCCATCACAAAAAAGCAGATGGGAGCGCAGCTGCTCTGGAGTGCTAGGGAGGGGTCTAGGGAGGGGCGGGGCTTCTACTCACTCAACAGGGCCGGATCAATATCCTTAGAGAATAGGGTGCTCACCCCCTTCACGTGTACAGTTCAAACTAAAACTAATACTCAACCACAGCACAGAAATGCTCACCTGGTGCAGCCCAGCAGTTTAGCTCCGCCCCGTGCCTCCGCCCCCTAGGCTCCAGGGCTCTAAGGCTGGCAGCCCCCCGCATGGCCAGGCGACAGAGGGCACCGGGAGCTCTATCTCCCTTTCAACCCTCCCAATCCTCAGCTGTGTGTCCTCGAGCGGGCCGATCCGTCCCACGTAACAGGGATTCCAGTCACTTCCACCTCCCGCCGCTGTGAAAGAAGAACTTTGTCCCCGAAACGACAGCTCCGCAAACCATATGTTCAGCCTCTTTAATGGCGTGCTGGAAGAAATCTGCTTGAGAAAAAGCAGGACTCCAAGCCGCTGCCAGCTGACTTCTGTTTGACCCCTGTTTGGCATCCGGGTGCGCGGGCTCCGCGTGAGTGCGGCTCCGCGTGAGTGAGTGCGTAGAGCCCAGCGCCTTGGCACATTTAATTAACAACCAAAGATCGATCCGCTTATCAGTGGCTTTGCAGATATATTACTTGTTATTCCTGAATATAATGGGTCACGCCAGAAAATGGCCCAAACCATTCATGCCACAAACTTCACCTTGTCACTGATAAATAAAAATACGACATTTTTATGACTGGGAGGGAAAATAGCCGTCAGCCCTAAACCGCAGCATTTCAAACTGCCATACTTTATCTGTTGGCCTCGTTAATGAGTAATAAACCTTGACATATGTTCAGTATAAGTTTGTCTAAGAAACTGTGTTGATACCTCCCTGAGCCGACAAGCAAGGAAGCCACTGGTGTCACCTACCACCGACACCATCGGATCCGTGGGCCACAAGCCCCGGGTTGAAGCAACACAGACAATTCAGCGGAAAAGCGGATAATCCCAAAATGGCTGTTTTTGTGTCCATTAACACAACTAAGCGTAAGGGTACAAAATTGTACTTCCTCCAAAGGAAGAAAACATTGCACCTTCTCCAAAGGTGGAAAATTCATCCTATCATCAGGTCCTGTACTTGGTCCACTACAGGAAGGAAGGGCGGGGGCAGGGCGGGGCTTGCCACTGGCTTGAGGAAACGTCATGTTTTAGTCTGAGACCACTTTTCCAAGCAACTAAAAGTCCTCTTGCAAAAAAAATGAAAGTCATTGTTCCAGCCAATTCCATCATATGGCAAATTTTCTAGTTCTGACAAAATATATAAATTATTTTTAGTTCATAAATTAGAATTTCCTACAAGTCTGAATTTTAGAATGACTGAATTTAAAGTGACTAGTTTGCGCTGTCTGTCCACCTTTTAACTACGAGGCTTACTCCCCAGCAGCGACTTTTACCCCCTGACAGAGCAATATTGCTTTTGGTTGGGCACTTTCAGAAAAAGTAACTCTGTCCAGGATACTTGTTCATTCATTCATTCACTCACTCATTCATTCATTCGTCCAGTACTTGCTATACACAAGAAACTCTTTTAGGAATTAGCATTATTTACTCAGAAGACATAGCTCCTTTACTTCCCAGACGCACAGAGAAGTTGAGTACCCCTCTCTCCTTTTTCCTCAAACACGAAATCACATAAGCCCGCATTTCTTTAGCCAGCACTGAGTGCTCAGTACTGTGCGAGTCCTCGTCTCCTACGTTAACTTATTCCAGCTGCACAGTAGTCCTGTGTGGGATACGCTGCTCTATAGATGTGGAGACTAAAGCTGAAGGAGGCTACCTGGCTAGCGACCTCAAGGCTAAGGAGGTGGGATTCTAACGCAAGTCTCCTGACCCTGTCTTCGCTGCCACCGACAGCTACCTCCGAAGCAGCCACAGAGACCCCGGCGTGTGTGCGTGGCGTGGGCCAGATCCACAGCTCTCTTCTAAGTCCAGGACAGACTCTTACTACTTTTCTCCAAAAGCCATTCTAGACTTAGAGAAGTAAGAAGTGATAGGCAATCTACCAAGATTAGGACTTTTATTTCCAATAATGCCAAGCTAGACCATTTTGATCAACACTCTTACTGCAGACAACTAGAGAAACTGGACCAAGAAAAGAATATGCTTGAAGGCACCAAGAAATAACAAATAACGAGGAAGTACCAGGCTAAGACCTGGGAGCAGGTGGACACCCAGGGTGGTGAGCCTGGCCTGTGAAGGAGCATTCCCACTAGCGGAGGACAGAGTGAGACTAAGCAGTGTTTCCGATGGGCTTGGGAGTTCAAGCCCGCCAAGAGAGGGGGAGTGAATCCCTTGCACTTGGAGGTTGGACTCCACTGAGCACTTTTAACGCGAAGAGTGAACTAGAAGTATACCAATCCCTGAGAAACAAGCAGATTGGCCTCATTCGAGTTCCTGAAGTTGAATTAAGGTCGTCCCAGACTGCCGGGTGCCTGGCAGGAGCAAAGGTCTATCCTCTCTAGAGGAGATAACATCACAACAGGCGTCAGACTTTCCAGTTCACACATAATGTTCAATACACAACGGAAAATAAGCAGGAGTGAAAAAAAATGAGATGACCAGGACAGAACCCTCAGAAACAACAGACAACAGAAAAAGATCTACAGAGCCCCAGACAGTGGGACTGTCGGACTTTAGATGACCTCGCCTACTATGTTCAAGAGGAAAAACTCCAAGACTGAGAGTTTCGAGAACTGGAAACTACAAGAAAGAACACAACAGATTTTATTTATTTATTTATTTATTTATTTATTTATTTATTTATTTGAATCCTCATCTGAGGACATGTTTTTTGATTTCAGAGAGAGAGAGAGGCATTGATTTGTTGTTCCACTTACTGGTGCATTCATTGGTTGATTCTTGTATGTGCTCTGACTGAGGATCAAACCCTTAACTTTTTGGTTTAAGGAACGATGCTCCAACCAACTGAGCCACCCAGCCAGGGTCAGATATTTTTTCAAGAACCAAATAGAAATTCTAGAAGTGGAAAATATAATAATAAAAATAACAGAAACTATGATATCATGAATGTACATTTTAAGCCACTAAATTTGTGGCAATAGAAAACTAATATTACAATACCAGGTTTGTTCTGTGCAGAGGAAAATATCTCACTGGGTTTGTTCTGTGCAGATGAGACTTCTACAAGCGAATGGTATTCTGCACAGAATAGACACTCTCTGGTTTAAACCACATACCCTACCTCCCATTTTATAGGCTGAAGGCAGTGACTTGCCCAAGGTCACACAGCAAGTTAATGGCAGAACAGAGGGGAGTGCTCAGGCCTCCGGGTGTTCAATGCTCTTTTCAATTCCCTCCCTGCCCTGTTCGAGATGGGAGGTGAGAGAAGAAAGTGGGGGTCAGGCTCGAGAAGGCAGTGGTGGAGAATAAACTGATGTAAACAGTGAGAGCCAGCCAGGCTTCTTAATTAGACCTCTTTACTTGTAAAAGGTTACACACAGCCCAGAGGCCCAGAGCCCTAAGCAGCTTTCCCAGGAAAACACCCTCACAGGCACACACTCACACACAAATATAAAAACAAAGAAATGCCGGTCCAAATTGCACTCCATCCCTTTGACTCAAGGCCCAAATGCAATTACACCTAGTGAAGAAAGTAATGAATAGGCCTCGTAACTTATTGATTCCTCACTCTGGGTGAGAACGTCCGAGAAGAGAGGGGGAGACCCTGGAATCCCACCTGCAGTGGGAGAGTGTGCACAACGTGACGAGCTCAGGTGCACACAGGGTGGAAGACCAGCAGAGGAAGGGGTGACTCTGTCCGGGCTCCGCTCTGTCCCGGCACTGACTTCTCCCAGCCCAGCTCGCTTCCCCGAGCCGAATGCCTTCCCTCCGCCCTCAGGGGTATAGGTGCTGAACAAACAACCCCTGACCCACAAATCCCCAGGCTCCTGCGTTCTGGGAGGGCGATGGACGCTCTTCTGGGTGGAGGGAATCCTGGGAAATGGCAGGGAAGTCTTTTCTCTACACTCACACTACAGAGGAGTGTTAAAAGCGCAGGCTTGGAGGCCAGGTGGCTTGGATTTAAATCTGGTTCCACTACTTTCTCACTGACTAACCTTGAACAACTTACTTGAACTTGCTAATGCTCTCATTTCCTCAGCTGAAAACAAAAATGAAAGTGGGACAATAATGGTACCTGCCCCATAGGGTTCAGGATAATCACGCATAGCACTGAGCACTGTTCCGGCACACAGTAAGCACTCTACAATCGTTTGTTCTGTGATTAATACTTCTTGTCCTTATGTAGGGACTTAGTGACCTGGGCAAATATTCTCCCCTTCTACAGCTAGTTTGCTAGCATCCCCAACTTGGACCATGTCTTTATCAACAAAGACGATAGATGATTCATCAGTATTAATGATTTTTTTTAAATCAACCAACTGCATGCTCGATTCCCCTGACCTATCCCTCCAGTCCAAGTATGAAAGTGGTAGAGTAGCAATTCAATTGCATTCAGAAAACATTTATGGCCCCGTGATTAACACTGGGGATGGAGGAGTGGTGTGGAGACAGAGACAGATTACACAGTGGTTGTCCTTAAGGAGTTCACTCTCTTATGGAACAAAAAGGCCTTAATCACGATTGCTAATTGTGGTACAAGGCATAGAAGTGCTACGCTGAAGGCACAAGCCACGTGCTGCTGGAGAAGAGGAGAGAGGTAGAGAGAGCATGGGCTCTGCGCTCGAGAGGATCTTCATTTGAACCCTGCTCTCCACCCTCCTCGGAGGTGTGACTGTGGACAAGTTGTTTTAAGTCTCCAAACCTCAGTCTTCTGACCTGGAACACGGGGACGGTGAGAGCACTGTGTCGTGCCTTCCTGCTGTGTGGACGAAGTGGGGCAAATACATACAGTCCTGCAACATAACTGATACTCAAAACATATGCATCTTCCCTCCTTTGCTCTTGTCTACGTAAAATAGAAAGCTTTACGAAGAAGGGGGCCTTTGGAGTTGGGCTTTGGAGATAAGCAGGAGTTCGAAAGGGAGAAAGGAGAGGACGGACAGGAGAAGCAGAGCAGACAGCACCAGCAAAGGCCCGAGGTGATGAGCTGCACGTGTGCTGGGAGCCTATGTCGCCCTTGTGGCTTTGGCAAGAGGCTTACCTCTTTCAGCTTCAGTTTCGCTTATGAGATGAGAATAATAATGAATGATGGCAACTGCTTCATTGGGACACCAGGGAAGCTGAATAACCTGAGGCACACAAAGCATTCAGGACGATGTCTGGTACATGGTAAGGCTTCATATGTGTTCAGCTGCACTAGCTGCTAAATCCAAAGAGCTCAGAGGCCCCACTCTTAGTCTGGGTGCAGTGACCACTCTGACTCTGACCTAGGAAACCACAGTGACAGTCTCGTAAACAAACAGCCTTTGATCATCTGTACTAGCTTTGACCTTCCACCACAAATGCACACACACCCTCCACATCGGAACTGCTGCTTAACAGTTCACTTCTGAGATATTGCCAGTAGTTATCCAACCAGTTTTATCGCCAAGGAGTTCAGAGGAAGAAGGCAATAAAAGAAATGACTTCCTGCTGGCAGGCACGCTTAGTTGTCCCAAAGTGGGAGAAAAGGCAGACAGAGGCAGGTGGCTTCCTGCAGGTACCACTGC